GTGAATAATAGGCTGGACCAGAGCAAATGGCAATTTAAAGCATATACTAGGGATATATGCACCCTATACATCAGACAGAGCGAAGAAAGTGGGGATGGAAGCCAGATCATCATACATAATGTGTATAACCCACTATAATGCTTGGAAGGACGCGAGAGCGCGCTTCCAAAGGTACAGGAAGTCTGCCAGGAGAATAGTGCGGAAGAGCAGATAGCGCTAGGCGACTTCAACCTCCATCACCCAGTATGGGGTGGAGAAAGGGTAGACAAACATGAGGAGGAAGCAGAGGAGCTGCTGGAAGTTATGCAGAGCATAGGTATGATGAGCACACTCTGCCAAGGAGCGATCATATATGAAGAGGGAGAAAAGAGGACGACAATCGACCTCTGCTGGATATCTGCAGGATTAGCAGATCGGATAATCTGGTGCGAAGTAGACAGAGACATAGAGTATGACTCTGATCACCTACCGATCAGTATAGTCATGGACCTGAGAGTCCAACATGGAGAGAGGAAACCCGTGAGGTGATGGAAGCATCTTGAGGAAGAGAGGTTTCGGAAGGCGCTTGCACAGATACTACCTTAGGTACAGCGGCCGAGAACCAAGAGGGCACTAGATTGATACACTAAGGAGATTGCAAGCGCGATCGACAGGGCGGCAAATAAAGTCCTCCCTAAAACATGCCCCTCACCATAGGCAAAAGAGGGATGGAACACAGAATGAAAATGAGTACTAACTAAAGTAAAACAACTTAAGTAGTTTTATAGCATGGACCGCACAGCGGAGTCATGGGAAACGTATAAAGCTGCACGGAACTTGAAGACCAAGATAGTCAAGAAGGCTCTAAAGGCAGCACACAGAGACAGGGTAGAGATAGCAGTGGCTACTCCCGAGTCTCTTTGGAAGGTAGCATATTGGGCCAGGACAAGGGACAACCAACCTCTAAGCGTCACACCAGCGATTCGATGTCCTAATACAGGATAGAAGGTGATAAATACTAAGGAGAAGGTATGGATTTTCTGAGAAGTCTTCTTCCCAGCTCCTCCGAGGGCCGATCTCGACGATGTCCAGAATGCACAGTATGACCAGCAGATAAACCTACCAGAGATCATGGAGAAGGAGGTTCTAGAGGCTGTAATGGCCACCGCCCTGCTGAAGATGGCGGGCCCAGATAGGATAGCAAATAAGGCGCTGAAGGCAGGAGCTGAGCTACTAGTAAAACACCTCGCCAATATCTTTAACCAGAGCCTCAGACTAGGCTACTGCCCGGAACACTTCAGGTCATCCATTACAGTAGTGCTCAGAAAGCCAGGCAAAGATAACTATGCAGTGCTGAAGGCATACAGGCCTATAGTATTACTCAATACAATAGGAAAGGTAATGGACACCATAATCGCCCGGAGACTGAGCTACTTGGTAGAGGCCTACCAAATGATACCGCCCCGACATATAGGCGGGAGACGGCTGCAGTTAACGGACCACGCCCTCCACTCCATTGTGGAGAAGATATACGAAGCATGGAACAAAGGAGAAGTCGCCAGCCTATTGCTCCTGGATGTGTCTGGAGCATTCGATAACATCTCCCATAAAAGGCTCCTACACGTGCTTAGGAAGAGACGAGTTGACGAACGGATCGTCGCCTGGATTGCCAGCCTCCTTGCAGACAGACGCACGCGGATAATGATAGACAATTTCGAGTCGGAAGAGTACGCGATACAAACTGGAATACCTCAGGGATCACCACTCTCACCTATCCTGTATATCCTATATAATTCAGACCTAATAGACAACTGCAACATAGAAGTGACCACTATAGGATATATTGATGATGCAGCAATGCTCGCCTGCGGGCCTACTATGGCAGGGACCACTCTGAAGCTGGAACGGGCAATGTAGAGGGCGTAATGCTGGTCTGCAACCTATGTATTAAAGTTCGCTCCGGAGAAGTTCCAACTGGTTCATTTCTCGAGGGCCAGGAAAACCAATATGAAGCAGCCCCTGAAGACAGCATTAGGCATCGTCACTCCCACAAGGACATGCAAATATCTAGGTGTCACTATGGACAGCAAGCTTGAATGGAAGGAGCACATCGCGGAGATCGAGCGCAAGACAGCCAAGACAGTGCATGCCATTGGGGCCCTTGGCAGCTCGATGTGGGGCATAGACCTCAGGAGCATGCGGAAAATCTACCGCAGGGTCGCGATCCCATAGATGATGTACGCCAGCTCACTATGGTTGAACTCCAGCCGCAACAACAGACCGTATACAGGACAGACGCTGAACAAACTAGAGGCCATTTAAGCCTGAGGGGCCCGCGCTGTGAGCGGGGCATATAAGGCGACCTTATGGCCAGCACTGAACATCGAAACGCACCTACTACCTATCAAGCAACAGATATAGAAGCATAACCTAGAGGCGCTAGGGTGGCTGCAATCTAGCCCAGGAATCTCGGAGCTGCTAGACCGCTCGGAGCGATAGTGGGGTCACTGGACAGCCAAATACAGTAGCCCACTGCAGAAAATATGGGCTGAAGCGCGGAGGATCAAGGAGCTGAGCATAGAGGTGCCAGAGATAATCCCACCATTTATCATCCCACTGTGGCAGGCAGGACCAACTATATATATAGACACCAGCAATAAAGCATCACGCTCTAGGCATAATAAGATACTTGGAAAGGGGGCCTTTTATATCTATATAGACAGTAGCAGTATTGAAGGCTGTATTAGAGCTATAGCGGTCTGTCCTACAGCGAGGACCATATGGAAGGCGTACATGGGCACTGACAAGACCTCTACTGTGTATATAGCAGAGTTACAAGGAATCAAGATGGCACTGGAAATCGCGCTGGAATAGACAAAAGAGAGCACTTAAAAGCAAAGATTCGCTATCTTCGCGGACAACCAGGCCGCGATCTATATGCTAACCAGGCCCGAAGGCAGGTCAGGCGCATATATAGCTAAGCAAATCACCCAGTATATCAAACAGCTACAGAATAATGGTCACAAAGTAGAGGTACAATGGATCCCACCCTATGAAGGTATCTACAGGAACAAGGACGCGGATTAAGCTGCTAAGGAGGCCACTGGATGGAGGGAAGGGGAGGGTGCCAGGGGCGATAAAGCAGACCCGCCTACAGAGCTATATGCTCTTAAGGCAATACTAAAGATGTGGACAGCAAAGAAAGCAGCCATAATATGGTAGAGGGAGTGGGCACAGGATAGTAAGGGTAGGGCGACATACCACCACAACCCTACGCCTTCCAAACGCACTCTGAAGCTATACAAGGACCTAAGCAAAAGACAGAGCGCTCTCCTGGTACAGATGAGGACCGAGAAGATTGGTCTCCGTCACTTCCTGGCCAGCCGGAGAGTACCAGGATACCAGGACGCGACCTGCTGGGGGTGCCGCCAAGGCCCGCAAACTATTATGCACATCCTGCTAGAGTGCAAGTCACTTAAGGATGAGAGGAAACGGCATTTCAAAGGGCAACCAGGAAGGAATAACCTTAGGGCTATCCTAAGTAGGCGTAGTTTAGCCATTGAAGCCATCAGACTTATAGAACATACCTATAGGGCAGAGGGTGAACAGAGAGGCGTAACAGACAATGCGGAGCATTAAGGGGATTGAGGTACGCAGGATGCAATACAGAGGCCCCAGGCCTCCAGGAGCCGAATACTAGAGCAAGTATTAGTAGATTAGCCAGCATGATACAGGCGGCAACAGCCAGCTGAAGATGGCGGTGATGGAAAACAGATAAGGAGCGCAAGGGTCGGCTGGTCTTATTTACACAACAAGGCGAATTGGGGCGTGTTGGGCCTAGCCCCATGCATGTCAGCCGAGTACCAAGCGTCATATGGTCCAAAATCCACCAACTTTTCAACAAGTGCTGGTAGACTGAGGCCACGTTATCCTCCGCCGGGCATAGCTACGCGACAAAAGAAGTGGCTGAAACCGTGTAGGATTAATCAATCAATCAATCAATCGTAAGCAACTGAGACTTTCATGCAAGAGTCTCAAGGTAAGCAAATGAGACTGAGCACATGATGGTCAGAAAACGTCTATAAATAAGGGGTCTATCTCCTTCCTCCGCTCGTTGTAGTTTAACTGTCTAGTATATCTAGTAGTTAGTTTGAACATTCTCCTATACTTGAAGCTCATACTACTCTAAGTCATAAAACTTGGACTAACTTATTTCTTTTTCTTTCTGAATAAGTTCTAGTTCCATATTGTTTCCCTTGCTCTAGGAAGCCAACCCCTTCCGAAGTGGCTTACATTAGTGAAGCTAGTCGGTATTGGGAAAGTGTTCCTAACACTGAGGCAGAGACAAAGATATGCGGGTCATCTTGTTGAAGGGCTGCCATTATCTGCATTGGCCGAACTCTAATATGTGACATAGTCTTGATGACTTTTTTTTACTTTTCTATATATTTGCGATAGACGTTATGAGCCATTAGATTAATAGATAGGGCATGATTGTGCTGCTTGACTTAGACTTCCAGTTTCCACTGATTGTTTTAGGTATCTTTAAAGATGATAAGCTTAAAAGGACACCCTGTTGCACGTGTACTTGTGCTTAGAGTCTTTGCTGTTGACTTATAGACTCTAAAGCGGTTGTATTGATAGTAATATCATGTTTTAATATTAGAGTGGTGAGGCTTACTCTGTTTAAATATAAAGCTATACCCGTTTTAGATACTATGACTTTTGAGAGAGTTGTATGCTTCATCATAAGAGCTATAAATAGAGTCTGGTGGGGCAGGAATATCTTCCATAGTTGCTACTGGTAATTGAAGAATCTTTATAGATACAATTCATTGATGAAGTTGCCCTTGAAGCACGGCGCGTTCTTATGCGCTAAGCCGTTTACAGCGATTTAAATTACATTACAGCTAGCGGGGGGTGTCAGTCTATGCACGTGCCAACATCACGTGAGATGTGGAAACGCTGGCTACATAAGAGAGGAGAGCCAGGGGTAGGAGACCGCAGAATCATCATACAATCCATCAGTCTAGACAACATAGAATGAACTAGACAAGCTTACGGTCCGACTTATGCATCATTCATCATTCCCGTGATCCTACGCACGGACATTGACAGGTGGGACAAATCTTAAAGGGGGGACAAATCCCAGAATCGGGGGGACAAATCCCAGCAGCCATGTGCTTGGCATGACATCACCTCATCACTGCACTCCATCCAGCCTTCCACATGGGTTGCGCCACTTCCCCCTTGTGGACAAGCTAACCAGCAGACAAGGCGGCTGGTGAGGAATTGGGTCCCATTGAAAGTCTTTAGCGAGCAATGAATTGGATACTTCACGTGTACTAATAATAAATTGGACTTGGGTATGGAAAGTCTTAGGGGAAGCATGAGTGTTAATCTTTTCTCGATCGAGAAACCTGTATGGAAGTTGAGAATACATCACGCAATATGTACGCGAATCAATAATGCAAGCGAAGAAGCAGAATCGGCAAGATGATACAGTACAATGCTCGGTGTGGTCTCGCGATATCAAGTGGTGTTCATAAATTGTACGATTCAGCGCCCGTAGCCTACATGTTGTCCATACTACTTTCAAGATACTTATCCAAGCGCCACCAACACCATGGCACACTATTCGCAAGTTTATGTTCCAGAAGTGAACTGGCAAACAATCTTGCAGCAGCGAGGAGTTCAAATGTCGTTGGCGTCAAGACGGGTACAATCTCAGGACCGGTCGACGCAAGTGGTACAGCAAAAAGAGCATCCGAGAACGCCCCCAGGACTGAATGAAGTTATCATTCCATTGACTAGACTGCAAGCGGAGATGCACAAATTCAGAGCCGAGATGCATGAATTCAGAATCGAGACGCGCAACAACTTTAAACAAATCGAGGCAAAATTGGATATCATTAGCACCAAAGCGGAGAATATTGAGAACGGGAAACGGAATATTCTGAACCATCTGCAGGAATCAAGAACAAATATGCCACGAATGGTGCAAAAACTGCTCTCGGACATACAGAGAACGTTTATGGCGGCCCTGGCGCCAACTCAGGACGTAGAGCGTTCAGAAGCCAATTTGGACCGAGACTGGCTTCTCAATCAGTTTGAAGAAATTTCGAAAATAATTGTGGCAAGCTGTAATGCCACTCAGCGGTATGCATCGTCTCATTGCGTACTCTGTTCACTAGTAGCTAATGGAAGATAGACCAAGTCTACGAAAATTTCGATCGATGGGCGTAGGCGAGAACCTCAGCACGCAACGACGAAAACAGCCAGAGAGAACAGCTAGGCGAAAGAAGAAAACTTACAAATGATAAGAATAGCTTCTGACCGGAGCATCGAGGGATGATTACAGTGTACATGCGAAGGTTTTGCGTATACAGCGGTATGACACCAAGTCGCTCCCTTTTAAGCATCGACGAAGAACTGTGAAGGAGTTTGAAGATAAGTGAGACATACTTGGTTAACATCTTTGGTCATTTTATCTATACATTAACGGTGTTCGTGATGTGAATGGAAGTCACGCAAGTTACACATAATGCGATTAGTTATAGAAATGAACCACTTTTTCTTCGCCATGGTTAGTATATATACACATCGTCTTTGTTCAATAAGAGCTGGACTATTTTATCCTGCACCCGGCTTGCTGTAACCCACAATATCGCTTTGCCGGATTAATCCTGCTAGTTTCCTTTGATTTCACCATGCCTTAGCCTCAGTCGAATCCTCGTAACGTTGCCAAACTGTACGACTTTTAGAAAGCGGCGTTTGAGATCCATTTATATTTTCTGGCCATGAGGACTGCATGCTTAAACATTTCTGCTCCCCGTACTGAAGAATGCATATATTCTGGGCAATCAGGTCGAGACGCACGATATCAAATATATGGCAGTTCTATACAGGAAATAGAGCTTTCTACAAGCCGCTCGTATTAGAGGCTGTGCATGAGAAACGTCATCCAACCTTTCGATTCGTTTCGACTGTTCGAAAACTGAGCCTCAACCTGTTTTGTTGAGCACACTACTTCCTTTATATGGAAGAGGTTCAAAGCAGGAGGCAACACACATAGCTATCTTCAGAAGATGTAATTCAACACGATCAATTCCAACCTTAGATAGAGTAAATTACCAAAAACCCGTTCAATTGTGGAATAACAGGTACCGCCAAGGATAGGCGAGTGGGCCGGACAAGCGAGTGGGCCATCCTCACCACCACAACGTATTATTTTGGCATATGTCTTTACAATATTATATGATATCGGCGATCGAATAGTACATATAGAATATTGATAAGCTATCTAATGCTAAGAACATTAATTGATTCGATGACCTAGCTCACGACAGCCACTACAGTAGTATGTGTGGTGTACCATCGCTGCCTCGCGGCTGTAAATTCTGAATTTCAAGCTGAATCTGGCTATTAATCTGATCTTGGATGACCATATTGCTGCCAGTACTATAGGATAATACACCTTGCCTCTGAATCATTTGTTTTGTCGTCGCTTACAACTAGAAAGGGCTTGGTTAGCTGCCTCAAGGTCAACAACCCGAGCCTTTACTATTGTAGCATAGTTAACTACTGATTAAGCACTTTTAGCAAGCTCATCAAGCGACTCAATTATAGAGGTTGGTGAGCTGTTTTGATAATGCCGAATCCGGCTTCAGATAAGCTATGTTTGAAGGTCTAATTCAACACCATTTCTTTGGGTCCTTGATTGCCATTCTATCTGCTCAATTGTTGGTGGTATAAACGTTCTTAGATGAATATCTAGCTTTGATAATACAGCATCTGGGTTAAATGGCAGTAAGCCAATACCCTTGAATCCGGCTCGTATATTATCTGGTTGTAGTGCCTGGATAAAAGATTGCTTGAAGGCAGGAAGGAATTCAAGCTTTCTGATATGATGAATGAAAGCTTTCATCATGTTGACTCTGATTACTATACACCTGTTTCAATGGCCCAAAGCAGCCTACATCAAGTAGCTGGAGTAGATGTGATGAGTGTGGAGGCATAAAAAGGGAGATAATGATTTTCTCTTTACAAAATAGCTTGAATTCAAGTGATTTATGACTCTCATGGCCATCAAGGATAGGCAGCCTATGCGTGCCTTGTGCACGATCCTTTTTATGCTGATTAAAATGCTTTAACCATTCTAATCCAAGCATATTAGTAGTCCATCCATTCTCACTAACAGCTATCATCCAATCAGGTGGAAGATCCTCCTCATACCATGCTGAAAGATGGTTGGTACGATAAGCATTTCCTTGAATGACAGTGACCCATTCACAATCTCCAGGCTGTATAGTCTTTAGGCTGTGGCGTCGTTCAGATCCATTAACCACTTCGGCTATTGCAATCAACCACATTTCAATCCTGTTTCATCAAAATTATAGATGTTGTTATTGCTGATGCTGTACTTACTGATTATATTACGCGCGAGCTCAAACCAAGGGCTGATGACCTGCAGATTTTTATATAAAGCTCTCTTTTAATCACACTTTCGACGAGAGTGCGTCTTGAGCGCTGGGGTCCTCTAAACAAAGTTATATGGCTATTTAATACCAACTTGCCCATCGCCACGCGAAGCAAGTAAATGATTAGCCATTGCTGCTACCTCTTGAAGCTTAGGCTGAAATCCACGTGAATCTGATCAAGTATACACTTTATGAGCACCTCCATTCATTCTTGGTAAGCCTTATTGAGTTAGGTCGGTAATCACGTCGTGAACGCGTTCCAGCTACGCGTCGTTATAGGGTTGCTTCAGGCACATTGAAGACTTTCGCTGCATGATAGATTGATTTGATGTGGCCTCTCTCGATAGATGATAATACTAATAATATTTACCCCTCATTAGATAATGGCTGCTCTTGGATTGAACACTGCATTGTAGATAAGATGAATTATACGCGTTATGGCGGTGAGGACGGCCCACTCGTTTGTCCGGCCCACTCGTTTGTCCTTGGCGGTAGCAGAGAAGCTGGCTTGCTGGTACTTGATTTTTCAGTGTCTGTAGCAACGAGCTTTGATTCGTACATAACTCCCTAGCTGCAGTACACATTGTCGATGTCCGTGCGGAGGATCACGGAACGATGAAAGAGGAGAGCCAGGGGTGAGGCACAGGAGAATCATCAGACAGTCCATCAGTCAAGACAGCATACAATGAACTGAGCAAGCTTATGATCTCGCTTATGAATCATTCGTAGTCTTTAATTTCATTTTGCAGCGCTGTTACCCATGTGAAAACATGGATCAAAAGTCGGGTAAATGATAGGTAACCCTAAGCAGGCGATCCTGAGATTCCTACGCCATGTCAGCCAGCCATTGGTAGACGAAAGAAATTTCGCGTCATTCGACGTAGGAATTTACTGCGCTTACCTTCGTTGTCCTTTTGAATTTCCGCATCATGCTGAGCTCATCGACGACGGTGGAATTGGAGTATTAGTATTTTAAAGGCGGCAAGATTGGCCGACATATTCGATGACGCATGCATTGTACAGAGACGGAGAGCTAAGAGAACCAAGTCAGCCGTTATAAGAGTAATTATAAAATCGGGCACATTCCGTTGCTGTTTCCCTGATTCCTGTCAAGGACGATTAAACCACTATCAGTGGGGAATCGTCGATCTCGCGCTTATAGTTATTTCTGAGCGAATGAGCCGTATTGCGATAACTTATATTCTTGTAGTTCAATAGATTGCTAGTCATGATGTTTATGAATATGCCAAGAGATTGGCCTAAGGGGCGTCGACTCACTGACAGGCCTTCACTTTCTCAAGTGCAGTATTCTCCATCTTGCCTTCCTCCCCAGTCATGGCCGAATCTGCCCGCTCGCGGGCTTGATTGCCGCGCACAAACTTGATTATGCTCCACTGGATATTGACATACAGGATGAAGAGGATGCTTAAACCGGTGCTAAGTGCTACCACCGCCTTAATTAGATCATCATAATTTAGCATGTACTTGTAGTCTAAGACCTCGGCACGATAGCGTAGGCAGTCCTAAGGAGCCACAACTTGTCCTGTTTGTTGTAAGTCCTTATCTGCCATCGATACATCCTTAGAATTTCCATACTGTGTTCGGTCCGGCAAACATGCTTTTACACAAGGCCCCTTTGGCGCCGACGAGAGCGTCACCATCAATGAAACCACCGGACAAAACGAGCACTTTGATGTTTCTCGAGTAACTAGAGCCTTATGCTGGCACAGAGTGAAGATGATGCTCGTCATTCACCGCGCATCGCAAAATAGTCTGTGAGCAGCATCACGTAAGTCGGAAAAGCGGCCTCCTCAGCTATGTTTGCACTGATAAGCATTTCTGCTGGGGTAATCTCTAAGAGGCCCAGACTCTTCACACTGCCACCTGTAGGCAAAATCGGTAGCGCTGATCAACTGGGTACGATGGCTTGCAAGGCTATTTCCCCCTCTTGTAATTCAAACGACGACGAAGCCGAGTCTGGGATGCGCCCGACAGACCGATTGACAATACATGCAAAACGAAGTGCGTCTCAAGCTCTGGAAGGTTCACCGCTGTCTTCACTCTACCTTCTCTTATTTCATACTCCTTTTATATGAGATAGATTGTCTCTCGTCGGCTTTGTAAGAGATGAGTTGCAATCTGGTATCGCATAAGGAGAGCTTAATCGCTTTCGATAGCGTTTAGATATGAGGCAGAAGATGCGGGCGGCGGAAGTTTCCTACCCATGGCCTGTCTGAGGATCACAAAGCAACTGGGATGGATAGCTATACCCGGCGTCTGCTATTTCACATGAGTCAAGGGCTTCATTTAGGCCATAGCCCGCTCTTGAGTTCTTTAGCAGAGAGAGACCTATGCGATACGAGCCTGGGTGATTGGGCTGGTTACCAACCTATCTCCCTTCGACGAATACATAGGAAAACATTAAGGTACGTCGCCGTCGGTGTTAGGAAACTGAAATGCTAGTAATGATGCAGCCCACGCGTGTTGGTCCGAAGGCCTCGGGTGTGCTGATCGGGATATGTCAAAACTCCAAAACCCAACCTCGACGTATCACGCTGCATGACGCATGTATTTGACGGTTGGAGTCATCTCTCTAAGGCATCTGGCCAGCCTTTCATGAATATTCTTTGGATGCCATAATCCACCAGCTTCTCACGAGCGATTCGTGGGGTAAGCCGAACAAACGAAACAATAAACTGCGTAGTTCTAGGTGTTGGAAGCAGGGATGGTTTCCATTTGTTGGACCGCTGAACTTATCAACACAGCCGCCAACTCTCTCGGACTGTTCTCGGGACGCATCGCAAGAGTGGTATGCTAAGGTAGAGGCGGTGCATTTTCATATTCGAGCGCCGTCTCTGTTGCTGTTGAGAACGGACTCACTTCACAATCTGGCAACTATAAATTTTTAACATCAGCCATCAAGAGTCTTATATCGCCGTCTATGGTTATGCGATCCATCATACATGGCTTTTCTTGCTCAGATATTCCATGTCTATGTAGCACATAGCCCAACTGAAAGTAGGTAAAAATGGATGTCATGATATCAATGATTGGAGTTCTGATATATTTTACAGCTGAGACAGAGGGGAGGACTCTGTCTTGTGAGTAAGCCTCCCTAGGATTACTCCCCGTCCACGCTGACGTAGATTTGCGTATCTTTCGTATCAACTACCACCGTTGATAAAATACCTACGACAGCGTGGGTTGAGATTCCTCTTCGCCATAAACTATTCCTTGGTTTGTATTGCCCCTTGGGAAGGTGCCTAGATACATTCAACTCTCTAGCAGCACTTAAACATAAAGCATCTATGAGAGCATTCATATTTCTACACCCAATTTTGTCCTTCAGCATGCCTGGGAACAGCGGACCGATGGTTAGGCCAAGAAAGAATACCATATTATTAATGCTTTAGAATGCAATGAAAACTAGTTTCAACCTTACAGAGTCGAAATTGCATTACTCCAGTGCGAGTAGCGGAATCGTAGTGTCGAAGTAGCCCAGAAGGAAAGCTTGAGCAAAGCCAATGTAGAATGCAGTGAGCAGTACTGGTAATGAGTAAAAGGTGTAAATGATTGGCATCTGACATGTCAGCCAGTGTGACAGTCGTGAAAGCTCATAGATCGCCGAGTTGCTACTATGATCTCCGTATCGCCTAAGCAGCGCCATTGACTCTGTTAATACGCTTCTGCTGAGGGCGAGGGCAATTCCTTCTCGAGTGAAGCAAGTTCTCTCTTCTCGATCATTAAGAACCGTAGGATTATATCCGATGCAATAAGCGTCCTGCATACTGCAAAAACGGTTGCATACCCTGTCTTTGCGTACAGGATGCCTCCCAGCATAGGCGCTCCTTGTGCACCCAGGAGGGCGAAGCTGAAGATCTAGTCAACCTTTCAATATTAACAACCGAGAGCAGATATTAGGCTACTTACTGTGCCAAGAACCGTTCCAAGTTTATCCGCTGCAACAATCTCAGGACTTATGGTAAGTCCAAAAACCCAAACAACATCAATACTCATTCCTTGCAATATCCTGGAAAACGCAATCATAGCGATCGATTGCCCAAATGCAAGTAGAATAATCGAGGGTAATAGCGAAAATATCCCTGCCAGGTACGGTTGCTGTCGGCTCCCAATCCTATCGGCGATGACACCAGCAATTGCACTCAAAAGGAAGCTCGATACTGCAATGTTACCGAGTAGAACAGAGACATCCATTTGAAGTTGTTACTCTGGAATGCCTAAGCGATAGCGAAGCACAAATGGAAGGATCAAGATGATGATAAGATAAATGAAGAGATCAGTAAACATACCGATGTCAACAACGACAATAATGAAGAAGAAGCTTGAGCGCCAACGCAAACCCCATGGCACATAAGTAGGTGGCTTTGTGCTTCCATACGATGAATTCAAAACAATTTGGCAAGAAAAATTTGGTCTGTCGTAAAATCACATGGTAGCTGGAACAAAGACGTCGGGCACCTATGTTTCCTCTCCCGGTCTCAAGCTTAATTTATAAATATTCAAAGCTACAGAGGAGTTTTCGGGACTATCTGAACATATATTTTCTATGTGAGATGGTGGCATCGAACGCATTATTGCAAACATAATGGCCTTGGAGGGTTGCAGCGAATTGGTGTGGTATTGTAGAATCTTCACATTGATAACAGCCATGGACTGTAACGAGATTTCAAATAAACAATAAATCTGACTTCACCCTTGTAACCCGGTCTATGAATTTCATGCGTAATGTTAGGAGCCAACTATTTGTCAGAAATTTGACTGCTTTCAGTGAGTACATGCCACGCAAGCGATTTGACTTTTCTGATAGAGCTTGAAATTTATGGGTTTGATAAGGAGCGTAGCAGGTAACGTATCCGTAGAGAAGTATGATTCAGGCACAATCACTATATTTTGGTACAGATACAGACGCTTAAATTGGTCGGAAATTGATCTTTCGGCTGTTAGTCGATGATATGCTGACTGTCCCTATTCTCGTATGGGCAATGGAACATAAAGACAAATTACATTGAATGATGGACGGTTAACTTATGATAAGACATTGTAACCAAAAACTCAAGAGCCACTATTTACCAGGATCATGGTCCAGGTTTGCACATGTAAGTCCATGAAGCCGGTACGTTAGACATGGATGTTCGGAACAGAATGTTCTGTGGGGAATATATGTCGGAAGAGTTTATATATATAGTGGCGAAAATTATGGAAAATAAATTAAGACATCAGCAACCAGGTCACAGTATTGAATAAACCGGTGATTGTTAGGTTTTTCTCTTTTCACATCACTTGATAACACTCTACTTGACTCTTACATCTTGAGAAGAAATGCACAGGGTCAGGTGTTCCAGCAAATCGAGTTCTCTACCAGTTTGTGATATGCCCGTTGTGCTTCATCTGCTTTCATGGGGGATAGAAGGATGCCAAAATACGGTAAGAAGCTTGTAACAAGCTACATAGCTCAATTCCCATTCATAAATGTATTAGACATCACTGACTTTAGACCTAAAGTCGCAAATCTCTCGCATAACTACACCCAAGTTCAAGGCAAAGATTCTAGAACTGTACCGAGAACATAAGGAGCATGGCGAAAATTCTGGCGCAAAACAACTAGAAATTCTGCCCTTTCATCCTGAAGACATAGTGTTCACGCCGGATGCAGCTGGCTATTTGCCTCTAGTGGCTACCAGTTCCTGGCTAGACATTTGCTCAGAGGATGATAAGTTCGCAAAACTTTCAGAGAAGGTTCTACTTCAAGAAATTTCGTTTGCTTCATTTTGTGGGGTGCGAAATGTTCTTATCTGGGGACCGCAATCGGATATTGCCGATAGTTTGCATACTCGGTTCATAGAAGTGATCCAGAAGGCACTTAAAATTGACCCCTCAGTCGAGATTTCCGTGGTGGTGTCCATGAATAAACATGAACAATGGAGATCATGGAAAAGATGGGATTATCTTCGATCTGAGTGTAAATACAGTCCCCAATTATCAACAGGCAAGTCACTACATATGAAATTCAGAAAAAGAAACTAATCGCAAAGCCATAGCTGTGATGATTGACGAGTATCTCCCGAATTTGTCCGTCCAGATAAGATGGGCATCGGAACCCATTCGTTTTGTTCTCTTTGATAAGGAAGTTTTCAAATACGATGACGAAAGAAGTCTCTACCTCGAAGAAATCCAAGAAACGTTCGTAGCTGATTTGCTGCGCCGAAGAAATTGTCCCGACATTGTGGTAGGCCTCCCACTCGGTAACAAAAGCAGTACAGCGTGCCATTGCAAGGACATTCTCACATCACAAGGCACTGAATCAACTGAAATATTGAGCAAGGTACTTGAACCGTTTTCTGAATATTTCACTCGTCTTCGCTCATGCCTAGAACCTTTCAACATTGTCGAGGAGTACGCAATGGACTATCAATATGACGATAGTCTCCAGGAAACTAGCCGACCTGCTACCGAAATATTGAAAAATTCCACATATTCAGCATTTGAAGAAGACCCAGTTAAGTATGATCTATACCAAAAAGCCATCATGGCAGCGTTGCGAGATTGGAAGCTCAGCGGTAAGAGTACATCAGGCCTCCACGGTGCAGTTTTAGTTGCAGTCCTTGGAGCCGGTCGAGGTCCTCTTGTCACACGTGCGCTTCGGGCGAGTGAAGCAGAAGGTGTCTCTATTGATATCTGGGCTGTGGAGAGAAATCCGAACACCATTTGCCTTCTTCATCAACAAAATGAAAACGAATGGCAGAGCAGGGTCAGCATCGTTCATTCTGATGTCCGACTTTGGAACGGTCCAACTGTGCTACAACAAGGAGAAAGTCGTACGAAGAAGGCAACGTCGATCGACATTATGGTATCGGAGATGTTAGGTGACTTCGGAGATAACGAGCTAGCTCCTGAATGCCTCGATGGCGCGCTTCATCTCCTGGCGCCATGGGGTCTTTCAATTCCGTCGTCATTTACCACATTCATCACTCCAGTCTTTAGTCCAGCCCTGTATAGTAAGGTCCTAGCCCGGAAACAGGTCGGAGAACCCACTGCTTTTGAAATACCATATTGGACTTGGTTTCGGAGTGTAGATTATCTCTCAATAGGCAAAGGGTCTGGCGTAGCCGGTAGCCAGAATGGCTATCGGTCTACTTTGACAAGCGATAACAGAAGAGCAATAGGTCGACTCCAACGTCCGATACCAAAGGTTCTGCCTGTCTGGACATTCTCGCATGATCCAAAATCACGACCAAATAATTCCTCGCTTAACTCCCACAACTCACGATACGGCGAAATTCTCTTCGACATTGGGAACGCAGGGACCTGCCATGGTCTTGCTGGATACTTTGAGTGTATACTTTATCCTGGAATCGAATTGAGCACAAATCCAAATACCATGGATGAGAAAAGCCCCAACATGACGAGTTGGCTCACTATGTACTTCCCACTGAAGGTAAACCGCGTTTCGAACGCATTCTTTTTTGGCGCTGATTTCAACTGCAGGAACCATTGTCTCTCTATGAGAGGTCCAAATTGAAAGTCTCTATGGCCCGAAAGACAGACAGCGAGAAGGTATGGTATGAATGGATCCTCGAAAACATACCGTCCACAGACTGCTGGACTAATCAAGTCGCCCACCAAGAAAAGTTAGCTACAACGGGTATCCACAGCAGTTACAGGGTTGCATACAGCATTTGGAGAGATGAGGGAACCAGCATGAATTTCACGTGCAAGTAACAGAAATAGAGGGAGAGTGCTTTGGAGCTTTGACATTGGAGCAGACTCAGGATGGAGTATAAAGATAGAATAGATGGTAATTCATTCAGCTCACCCTACTCTCGTTTACCCCGAAGAGCAAAATAAAATCCTCAGTATCTGTATGAATTTAGCAAGGCATAAAATAATTGAAGAAATGGAAAGACCGAAGTTGAATCACGTAACTTCCGATCCAAAACCTTGTTTATCGGCAACCAGAACTGCTCCCTGCCCGCTGCTTTCCTTTATCCATCACAAATACCGTAATCAAAGTAAGCTACCATAGGCAGCGCAAGTTTGGGACTGGCTTTATGCATTCCTCATGATATCCGTAATATATACCATGGCCGAGCGGAACGTTTTGACGTAATTCGTTCTGCACTCTGCAGGCGTAGGCACGGCCAGCTATCGAAAGAACAGAAGGTTCAAGACCAGCGATATCTTACTTCTCGTCAAAAGAAAGCTATCGCGAAACTCGTATTGCAAATGGCCGAGTTTTGATAAGATGTACGAATTAAGCATATTCCTGACTTAGCCTTCATCGTCACATGCCAGCGAACTACGAGTATGCCTGGTTCAGTGAAGGTTCTCGTGGATAAAAGGGATCTGCAACTCCATAGAGGCGGGGGTGTGAAACGCACTGTCTTAACCGCTATAGAATGCGTGAATGCGAGTGGTAGGTATCTAGAATCAAATATCGCATGGCCAGTCGGCTTCGGCTCACAGACGCAGCTGGATGGCTTTTCTGACCCTTGGTTGGCACTATTGTCTACATTAAAGTCATAAGATACAATCAACAATGATGACCTCAAGAATCCAAGCCAGGCTCTTACTACGGGATAGGCAGTAAACGAGGATGCCTAAATCCTTGGCCCGGTTGATAAGATCCAATATCGCCCTACAGGCCCCTCCGGGCGTCGCGATCCAGCTGTAATTGGCGATCGTGATCGTTGCCGCAGGAGAAAGGCCAAAGTCAGTAAACAGACTCACCACTTTGCAGAACATGACGTTAATCATTTCTTTGTGCGAATCAGGGATTCCATGCAAGCAGTGCATCAGCTGCTATAAGATGGATCTGATTCATGTATGGGTGATATAACACCAGGACTATTCGGACCACCCAGTCAAACCTAAAACACTTTCGTCACCTACAGAACTATGCTTCGGACAAATATGAGTGCGGCGACCCTATGTTAGGAACACTTTCCTAATACCGACTAGCTTCACTAATGTAAGCCACTTCGGAAGGGGTTGGCTTCCTAGAGCAAAAGGGAATAATATGGAACTAGGACTTATTCAGAAAGGAAGAGGAATAAGTTAGTCCAAGTTTTATGACTTAGAGTAGTATGAGCTTCAAGTATGAGAGAATGTTCAAACTAACTACTAGATATACTAGACAGTTAAACTACAGTTCTTGGGTAAGGAGGAGAAATCCTTCCTTTTTTATAGAAGCGAGAGGCAGGCGATCATTCTGATCATTTATGATCAGACTGATCGTATATCATGCATCTGATTCGTTCATTCTGTTAGAGCCAATAGCATTTTCCCGCTAATGCAGACTGATCATGTTGATCATTCATGATCAGACTGATCAGCTTCTTCCCACGTGACTTATGTTACTTTGTTGACATAAATAGGTTCCTCCACGGCTCCTGGATCGCAAGAATGTCGTACTCCGCAACCCTGGGGTCCTGTAGCAGTGTTGCCATGACTGTGTCCTTTGATTTATATATATTATACTGTAGTAGAGTTTGACCCCAGATATGCAAATTCCCCAGATATGCAAATGAAAATCAACACCTACCACGCGATCGCGTTGTGTATCGCGTGCGCTTTGCTGGCTCTTCATCTAAACTATCTAACGAACTCTCTGAATCTTCAGCTTCTTCCTATCTTTTTCTACTATTACAACCTTTTGTGGGCGCCCTCGTGGTCGTTTTGTTGTTGGCTTCGCCTCCGCTTCGCGCGCTATACGCAACACTTCCGCCGTTGTATAAATAGAAACACCTTCTAATTGAACTCTTTTTCCTTTTTTAGCTTTTTTTCGCTTATGAAGAAGCTCATTTTGATCAGCAATCTGCTTTGCTATGATTGCAATGGTTGCATTTTGGGTTTCGCACAACCGGGTTATACGCTCTGCCTAGCGCCTCACCAGCGAAACAACTGCGGGACACTCACGCAATGACTCTATGAACCTTTTATTTGATCTTATTAGCTCAACTGCCTCTGGAGGAGAGCTTTGCAATAGAGATAGATCAAGAGTAGTGGTCTCATGTGGTGTAACCGGCTGAGGAGTGGGTGGAGGAGGGTTGCATGGAATATTTTTGAGTACACGCATGCGATTCGCAGGCCATAAGCCAGTGCCTCGCCATCCACTAAGTATGTTTTTTGTAGTCATGGCCTTTTCGCGTGCGCGAGATAGTAATTCAATCCATTCCACTCGAGGAATACGTTGTAAACTGTGCCGGGATATCGCATGCGTCTCACTGGAGTGGTACTGTTTAAATACAGAGAACACACCCACATCAAGTGGCTGTAGTATATGCGAGCAATAGGGAGGCATAATAAGAAGATCGATCTGATTTTCCATGCAATAGGCAATAAAATCACCCTGAATATGACCTCTATGTCCATCCGCGATGAGTAAATACTGGCGTCCCGCAGCCTTCTCATAGGTTAAAGGATCAAACACCTTCTTTAACCATTCAAGTCCAAGATGATTTGAAGTCCATCCATTCTTACTAGTTGCAAGATGCCAATTCTGTGGTGATTGCTCATTAAGCCATTTAGTATTAATGCTGGTGCCTTTAAAGATCAAAAGAGGAGGAAGCGCTTCGCCTGCGGCATTCATGCACTCCACATCTGTCACCCATTCTTGCTTTCCTGCTATAACCTTATACTTGATATTCTTATCAAGATAAACAAGTACTTTCATTGCCTGCTCTTCACCAATACCAAATCCTGATTCATCCATATTCCACATATTGGAAGGATTATATGCATGCTCTTCAACTTTCATCGCGACTGCGTTAAACCAGCGTTCCACATGCTCATATGTTGCTCTATTTTTTTGTGCATGCTCAAGCTGACGCGCGTATATTAATCCTACTTCAGGATGTCTGTGGTGAAAGCGGTAAATCCATTTATGATTAATTTGATCAATCTGAGGAGAGAAGGTGATAGATTATGATGCATATATAACGCGTGCGGCTCGTAGGTTCTGCGCGAGTTCTTTCAACAACGAGTTTGTGATTGGAGTCCCAGTAATAGTATACTGCTTTATCCATTATACAAGAGTAGCTTCTTCCGTATTTGTAAGTATCTGCTGCATTTTGTGGCTCTTAGACTGCGTTAAGCCTCCGTGAAGCCTACGTCGTAGTGTCTAATATGAAACTTTGAAATGATCTGAAGTAGCAATAATAGTTGGAAATTGATTATTTTTATAAGTAGTTATAGCCTTCTGGATCTCTTTTTCATGATCCAATCGTTTTTTTAAGGATTTGGATGGCATTGTTGAAATAAACGCGTGTTGCATGCGCGACGCGTGCGACTTATTTGCATATCTGGGGAATTTACATATCTGGGGTCAAAACTCTATATCTTGTGTCAAATATTCTTACATTAGGTGTTCTAATAGTTATACATATTGCGATACAGCTTTGCATAATAAAGGTAATATGGATATGTTATTTATGCCTTCAAAACTCGCCAAATCCAACACGTGTCAGGATTTGTCTCTTTTACCGTCCCTACGCAACTGCGGCAGGAACCATTGCTTGAGTTACACCGGGTTTCGTCACGGAATCCACATGATGAATTACAGTCCTTTAGGCTTAAATACCTCTCCCTGCAGGTTTTTTGACCCTTCTTATCGCTGAAATCCAATGCTTGAGTTGGTGCGCAATACTTGAAGTCTTCATCACAGACAAGTCCAAATGAAAACAGATTATAAGAACCACCACCATTTGTGACACACACGGTCTCCGTGATGTTAACACTCACATCTTTCAAACCAGGGCTGGTGAGGTCACCGCAATAATTTTCTACCGCCGTTTCATATAAGTCGCACGCTCGTGGAGGCTTGGCTATAGGACTCCCACTACTCAGCCGAATTTCTGAAGAGATTGTTTTCGTTACAAGCATGCTTGAGCTTGATCCAGCATGACTTATCTCGTTTATACTTAGAATTGTAACAGTGCTCTTCTGTATATCATTGTATTTAAGGCTTGTGAATGGATATATCGAGATTGAGTTGTAATTACTGGTATTATGCACGACTACCGAGAACGGCTCTGTACTTGAGTTTGCCCAACCTGTCCCGCACCATATGGATGAGGTTATGGATGCATCTGCTAACTCTGCTGCGTGAGCACAGGGAAGCGAGCAGCCTAAGGAAATGAGGGATAGATATGCGGTGAAGAATACAGACATAATGAATACGCAGACTGTCATGAATGAACTCTAGACGGTCGATAGATATATTGCGCAAGCTGATATATTCTACTGGTGCTAATTTTAGATAGTGTTCATGTTTATCATCATGTCCAACATTCACTGACTTTGGTTCCACGGATCATGTGTTCGTCCGTCATGTCGTTCACGAAGTCAAAACAAACTCTTTGCTTGGCAGAACTGGGGCATCCGCGTGGCTTAATGACTGGTCTTGATAGTATATCTTAACTGCTCTAACAATAGATAGCTAAATTTGCTTATTTAAACTGGATCAATGACTCTGGTTCGTGTATGATCGTACTGCTTGATTGGTAGCAAGTGCATTTCAACATTCGGGGCTGGCCATAATATCGCCCTATACGCTCTGCTTATAGCAAAAGTCACTCGTATCCGGCCCACTCGCTTATCCTTGATGTTATGGTTCGTCATTATGACTAGAGTTGGAGCAGCGTGAGCTAGACGTATGTCATCTGTGGGATCACGACCGTAGGGTAAATTTTCCACATACTGGCGAGGTCAAGCTTTGAATTCAGCCTTCAAAGTGCCATCCCTCGAAGCCATCCGAACCGTCTATCTCAATCAAGCATATGATAAAATAAAACAGCCAGTTTAGAGATTGATTGAGAGGACTGAACACCTCAATTTCACCATAGATGGCTCAATAGATGGTCGAAACTGAGGCATAGCAAACTTGTCATTTTTAAGTGCTGATATAAGCTCATACCTCCTTTCCACCTATGTTGTTGAAGGTACCGATGAAAGCGCACTCAAAAGCCTTCAAATGTTGAAGAACAGGCTTCTTAAGGCTATTTATAATAGCCTAAGTCTCATTAGCTCAATCGCTTTTAATACTTGCTCAACTCAACCGGCAATCTTTAACCTGATGAGGACTAATAATGACCTCAAACATATTATCACTGATTCTGTGATGCGCATGGTCCAAACCTCTTTCTTAAGGATATCTTCAAGATTCCAGTTCTGAAGTCTGTATATGGAGACGCTCAGTAAATTACAGTATCTTTCTCACGCATGAAGCAAATGAACCACTTACTTCAGTCACATGCAAAGGATCTGACAGATAAAGAGATTGCGATTCGATCTGCAAATGACACTTAATGGGATGAAATCCTCAATCTTAGATGCAAATGAACAAGATCAAAAGAAGGAATTGATTCAAGAGGCCTTGAATGAGTTATAAAATGCCTTGAAAGGAATAACTGAATCAGCATTTGCACCAAATCAAGATGAGGATACCTTTGATAAGATCAATCAGTCTCCATCAACAGCAGCAGCTCGATATCTCACACTTGCAGAGCTATGTACCTAGTTTGACACCATATCTTCATTTCTAAGCTCTATTTGGACCGAAATCGCATTGCCTTTCTCTGTTCCTTGGCCCTAAGAGATTACTAAGAAATTGCAATAAACGTCCGAAATGGTTTCGGACAGGACATAAAGTGTCGAAGTCCGTGCAGAGGATCACAGGAACAATAAATGATGCATAACATACTTGTCGCACTATAGCGCTTGCGATGCTAGGAAGTGCTGAGGACTGCTGTGCGCAGCGTATCAACGAGCTACAGAAGGTGATAGATAGATGGAAAACTAGATGATTAAGAGGATAGGAGGTGGTCCTTTTATTGACTATCTGCAATGTGAGAGATCGTTGTAGTTGTATATTTTTAAGTGATCTCGCTCAAGCGACGGCTTAATTAGGCGCTTGATTAGTGTCGCACTATGGCGCTAGCGATGCTAGGCAGTGCTGAGGACTGCTGTGCGCGGCGTATCAACGAGCTACAGAAGATGATAGATAGATGGAAAACCAGATAATTGAGAGGATAGGAGGTGGTCCTTTTATTGACTATCTGCCGTGTGGGAGATCATTGTGGTTGTATCTTTTTAAGTGATTTCGCTCAAGCGATGGCTAAATAAGGCGCTAGATTAGTCAGGTGCACGTGACCAGTGTCAGAAACGCTGGCAAGATGAGAGAGGAGAAGCAGGGGTAGGGGACAGGAGAGAAACTAGACAATCCATCAGTGCAGATAGCATACAATTGACTGAACAAAGTTCACCATCTCACTTATGCCTCATTCATCATCCCCGTGACCCTCCGCACGGACATTAACTATTTCTCAAGCGATAACAAAGCTGAAACCTCATCCCTCCTTTACTTATAGGTATGTATATGAATGGCTTCCAGCAAGATTGCCATGACCTCTTGTAGGATTTGACAAATGATAACGACGTTTCCAACCAATCTTGTGCGGAAAAAAAACGGAACTCAACAGAGGAAGAGCGCTGGGAAGAACATTGTGAGGAAGAAAGAGACGGCTACAACTCGACTTATTCACTACGTGCTGCAAAACGGTCAAATCGAAAAGCAGAAATCACTGGCGAAAGCAGAACCCGTCGAAATTCTCGATGCTGAACCGCCCATATCGCTATGGCAAAAACAGATCGAGGAAGCATTTATCGGCTCGAATGGCCAGTTGTCTGCACTGACTGCGGGACTATATGAGCCATTGCGGCACTCCCCAACAGCAACACAAGACCTACCCGGAAGAATCATTGAACATACGCTAGGACTTTTATCGGACTCGACTAAAGCATTGCTTCATCGGTGGTTGTGGTACCAACTTCTGATATACTGCAGGAATTTGATTGAACTTGCGCATTATGATCAGGCTCGTATCGTTGACCTGCTTCGTCCAGAGATCCCGAACATAGGTCTGGATTATCTGAGACGTCTCTGCAATGGTGCATACTACTTTCGCGAGTATATTTTCAAAGGTTTGATACGAAATGGATACCCTACTATGGAAGTTGATCTACGGATCGCCTTTGGTGAGTCGTGGATAGATTTCGTAGAATATATACTAAGCCTCTCTAGGAGGGCCTAGGCCGTACTGGTACGGCAACCTAACGAAACCAAAGGCTGAAAAATTATCTGCACAATTGCCTGTTACAGGAGACATCAGGAAAGGTCTTCTTCACTTTGATACTTCGGTGATGTTAAGCCATGTCCAAAAATGGTTACAGTAGGAGTGAGCCGGCTATATACTTAAGGTCAAAACTAACCCGAAATAAGGATTGAATGCTCTTTTTCTGCTCTTTCGCGAGCCTTCTCAGAGCCCTCAACATTATCTCCGATTCTAGAGCTAATAGACCCTCCCGAGACCAGATTCTTTCATTACTGTAAGCAGAGGCCGTTCTTAAAGTTTTCGATCATATTTGACCAGACGCAGTTTGTAGCTTCGTCGTACCGACTCGATCATTTAGTAAACATAGTATATACTCCAACATGATAACACTCTCCGAAGATTCTTCGTATTTGCGCTTTACGATACATGCTGTAGGGGCTTGGTACCTTAAACACCCCTTGGCGCTGCATTATCATACCCGATGTATCAGGAACTTCAGGCTCGCCCTTTCAAACCTCACCAGATCTTCCGATACTCTCAAGCCATTGCTCAGTACTCAGATACTCTTACTACAGCTAGCAGTACGTAAATGTTGTTTTCTTATAGCATCCCAAGTGCTAATGCAAGCAGGTCATTGACCCTGTTCTATACAACCAGTGGTGCATGATGGTCGAAGCCTCTGGTGAGCTGCTGAGGCGTAGCATCAAGTATCCAGATACATTGGATCTGCGCGTAAAGCTTGCTTCGCACCATGTGTTGGCCAATACTATCGAGAAGAAGGAGAATGCTTTCACTAACCATCGCTTTCTAGAGGACTGGGAAGAAAAGGTTGAGGAGATCAACGAAACAGTTGCAATGTCACCCCAATTGCTGAACATGTATCAGACTGTTACGATATTGAGCTTTGGCACAGATCGTAACAACTATGAAGAGTCCCGTCAAGCAGCCATGTCCATTTTGAACAGTGTATCAACCATAAAGCAAACATGCTCAAATACAACTCTTACCAGCGACGAAAGACAAATACTCGAAGATACAGCTGAATTGTATAGACTTGGTCTACGAGTATACCTTGACTGCCGTTTCACCGGGTGGGCAACAAATTTCTTCATACGATCTCGCATCTGTCTAATCTTGGCTCAGTTTACGAAGTGACGTGGAAATACAGGACGATCTCCATAATATTCAAACTATATTCTGCAGTCAACCCACTGATGGCCATCTTTATAAATCTGTTCATTCACTATGGGCTTTGTTTCATTTAAGTATACTACTAGGGAAGATCGAACCTCTGGTTAATTCAGTCGAACAACTTTCTAACCGACCTGCTACTGTACGATTCTCTGACTTTGTTGATTGAGGCTAACTAGTATAAATAGAATATCCCCCCTGCCCTCAAGTGCATCCAAGAGGCTTGGAACAACAAATTAGGATGGGAAGAAGTCTGTAACGTCAAGCGCAAACGGATAAGCCTTACGTAATTTCGATGGGTCTGAATCAATAATTCTTAAAGATACCAATCTCTATCTATGTCTCCGTAGTCACTAGCTGCCGCTAGTCTTTCGAAATCATCCAATGTTTTTTTCGCCCTTAAGTAACTGTGACTTTTCTCTGCGTCGCCTTTCTGCTCCCAGGAGTATTTTTCATCGTAATGACCATTCATTGCACCGAAGATCATAGGCCCGAGGCCACTCCCATACTTGGCAAAGTGAAACGACCCTGCCGAAGCAATTATCAAGTTCTTTACGAAGGGATGTGGTGAGATCAACGGGTGTTGATTAGGAGTGATTGCATCCCTGCCGCTGTTACCTTTTTTATCCACAAAAGCAAAACAAAGAACTCACCAGAGGGTATATTTCGCAGCTAACTTTGCTCCTTTCAGTGCTGGTATAAGCACCCGAAAGTATTTCTTCATGTCTTGAAAGGCGAAGTATTCTAGCTGGTGTGAAACCTCTGTAGGCTGTTCATTTCGAAATGGCATTGTCCACCCAATCTTTACAACTCCATTCATGTCGGGAGGGAAGTATTCGCCGCCATCTGCATATGGTGATTCCACACCATACACAGATATTGGCGGGATATGTTTCACATCTTCAACCTGCTGGGGTGTTAATTGGAGATGGAATGTGAAGACACCAATAGACCATGGACATCTTGACACTTCAGGCAGGCTGATCCCAGATTTCTTTAAGATTTCCATCGACCATGACCCTGTTGAAAGAACCACCTGTGAATCTGGCAAACGTATAAAGTCGCCTCCAGAGAGCTGTAAACATTTCACGTGAGCATCCTGAACGACTAATTTTTCAACAGTAGCTCTTTTGAATTCCACCGAACTAGAAGTGTTCGTTTTCTCAAGTTCAGCCATGAATTTGTCCCAGATAACAATGCCATCATCATTGTTATAAACGAATACAACGCCCTCTTCGTCCAATTCTGTGTCATTAACAAAGTTTGTGAAATTATCGTTCAGATCGAGTGAGGATGACAATGTGGCCTTGGTAAGCCTTGAGCGTTTCTGAAGTCCAAGTGCTTCACGATTGGTGTCGATGGCGCAAAGTCTATTCAAAGCGGAAGGAAAATATACGCTGATTCGGCCGGTTTGGTGGTAGAACTGACTGAAAATCTTGCTCCTTTTCCACTGTTCATGGACGACCATAGCATCCTCCATCGAGGCAGGATCAGTGTAGTCATCGCGGACAAACTTGCGCGTGTCGCGACTTGCCGCAAGCTTTGAACCATTATCAATGACTGTCACAGAAGGTGAAGGTTCCTCTTCCAATATTGTTCGCGTTACTGTAGCTCCGAAAACACCGCTTCCGATGATAATAAATAGCTTTTCGGACGGATTTTGATGTGGGCGGAGAGAAGCCATTGTGTAAATAATTTCTAGAGTAACGGAACGCTTGGTCTTCAACACGAAGTTGATGGGTCTGACCGGTTGGTTGGTTGGATGGTTAATTCCTTAGGTTTTGGCCGTTTTAATCACACGGCTGTGGCTGGTCAGTGACGTGCTAATTATATAATCCAACACACCACATTTCACCCTTAAAGGGTTGTCAGCGAGCACAACAACGACGAGAACCTCAACTTTTGGAAATTCAATCGTTCTACCGTATATATATAGCCCTCCAGAAGCCTCGAGACGTCCTGTATGAGCCGCGGCGCCCTGCGAGGCTGTCTAATATGGCGAGCCCCTGGCCGAAGGAGGTCGCATATCCTACCAACCATTTATGAACACGCCACACACGACATGAAGCACCTGCAAGAATCGCATAGCTTTATTAATGGCAATAGAGCTCACCCATAGCCATAGAACGGGCCCACCTGATTATTCTGGGCACACTATCGCTACTCATAAAAGTATATAAGACCCTTGACCTCACCACCCTCAACAATAAAATCAATGCTATATATACAGAACTTAGAGCTAACGGGAAGAGTACCGCTATAGTAATTAAAAGAACTAAACAAGATATTGAAATAGCAAAGGACTTAGTTCAGAAAAACCTACAAATGGGAAAGGAAGCAAAGACGGCAGCGCAAGAAGCAGCGATCGCGGGCAAGACGGCAGTAGGACTAGTAAAGGAGATCAAGCACAAGGCACCGCAACAGGCCTCAATACTGCTAAGCTACGCGGCAGTAACAGCCAGAGGGATGCTGGCAGCGAGCATACATAGCCCACAGAATGCAAAAGCCCCATCTGCTCAAATAAAACGCGAAGTCATCATGAAAATTAGAGACCTACAGACCATTAAAAGTCTATAAGCCAAGAGCCCTCGCCACCTGAAGGCCATAGCCCAGCGTGAAAATGAATATATTATTAATACAAAAATTGTGTCTATCAACCAACTTAAAAGCGGAGACCTCAGCATAAAACCGACGACACTGTTACGGCGTACTTCCTGTCAATGTCCGTGCGGAGGATCACGGGAATGATGAATGAGGCATAAGTCAGATCGTAAGCTTGCTTAGTTCATTGTGTACTGTCTTGACTGATCGGTTGTGTGATTGTTCTCCAGTCCCCTACCCTGGCTCTCCTCTCTTACAGTATCTAACGTGTTTCGCCACCAAGTCGCGCACACCATCAAGTCGCGCAGCACACCAGCCATCAAAACTTCGAATGTATATAATGCAACCACAAAATAATATTTTAATGAAATATCCTATATTTTGTACACTCTGAGGCTTGATGATCATATCCACGACAAATATAGCATGTAATTTGCGGTGTTTCAGCTGCATTTGGCGCTTCACGTGACTCCTGAGCTTCCTCAACCGCTGCTACCACCTCGCTATTTTCAGTCCTAGGAGACTGTTGAATCAACTGAGAGGCCTGAGAAACAGTTAAGCTAGTTGCCTTGTATATTGCCAGGGAGCGTGGATGAATGACTAGTAAGTGACTGAGGGTCCCTGCTTTCTCATGATTTTCTGGAAAAGTTTGATGAGGGTAGTAGTAGCCACTGTCTTCCAACTCAGAGAAAAGGGCTTCCACAACGGATCTCCCTTGTAAGGCTCTAGCCTTGGCCTGAACTCGCTTATTGAAGATATCCTGTTTGGTAATGAGAATGTTGGGGAACTGCTGTTGCAGTTGCGCATGCGTTTGACGAACAGCACAGCCAGCCCATAAGTCCTGCATGATTCTTTCCTTGACTGGGGTTTCCCGTTTCCTGTGCGCTGCGTATGTGCCAACCGGTGCAGGCCTATGATTATATTCCCCTTCTCTTATTGTTAGGCGCCACCTTCTATCTGATTGTTCTTTTCCAATACAACTTATACGGCACCCTGTTTTTTTTTGATGAATGGTTCGGACGCTTCCGATTCTCCTCAGTGAGCTTCCATTTATTCGCCAGCTGACCATAGCACACGCAGGCAATGATGATAGACTTGCTATACGCATTCGACTTCAGAATTGAAAGAGCGTATCCAGCTTGCTTTGCATGCTCTTTATAATGCATCAATAGATCTTCTTTTGAGCCATATAAGCCTTCTGGAGGCGGCTCTAAAGATAGAGGTATCAGGGCAACTGGTTAGTCGGCTGTAGTTGACTCGTAACGGAGATCAAAGATGGCAAATACGCGTAAAAGTATAGAAGACGCGTCCACCGCGCGTAGCTAAGGTTCTATCTCAATCTGTTTACTTAAGGCGTATATTATACGAAATAAAAGGGGTATAAAGACTATATAATGCGTTTAAGGTATAGCGGCTTGGCGAGGTGGTCCAAAACAAGATCGAGGTGGTCCGAATCAATTCCCAGTGGCTGCTGAGATTTGTCCCCCCGATTCTGGGATTTGTCCCCCCTTTGAGATTTGTCCCCCCCGCTAGCTGTAATGTAATTTAAATCGCTGTAAATGACTTAGCGTATAATAATACACCGCGCTTCAGGGGCAACTTCATCAATAAATTTATATCTATAAAGATTCTTCAATTACCAGTAGCAACTATAGAAGATATTCCTGCCCCTCCGGACTCTATTTATAGCTCTTATGATAAAGCATACAACTCTCTCAAAAGTCATGGTATCCAAAACGGGTACAGCTTTGTACTTAAACAGAGTAAGCCTCACCACTCCAATATTAAAACACGATATTACTATCAATGCGACCGCTTTAGAGTCTATAAGTCAACAGCAAAGACTCTAAGTACAAGTACACGTGCAACAGGGTGTCCTTTTAAGCTTGTCATCTTTAAAGATACCCAAAACAATCAGTGGAAACTGGAAGTCCAAGTCAAGCAGCACAATCATGCCCCATCTATTAATCTAATAGCTCATAACATCTATTGCAAATATATAGAAAAGCAAAAAGAAGTCATCAAGACTATATCATATGCTGGAGTTCGGCCAATGCAGATAATGGCAGCCCTTCAACAAGATGACCCGCATACCTTTGTCTCTGCCTCAGATGTTCGCTCAGAAAGAAAGGCCATCTAACAAAAGCACCTAGATGGAAGAAGCCCAATTGAAATAGTATTAGACGACTTATCATCATTAGATTGGGTTTTCTCTTTAACTAGGGACCCTGAGAATCATATACAACGCCTCTTTTTTATCCATCAAAAGCAGATCAAACTGCTATTAGCAAATCCTGATATTCTTTTAATGGATTGCACATATCAAACTAATAAGTATAAGCTTCCACTATTACACATACTTGGCTGCACCAATCTTCAGACCTTTTTCTCTATTGGCTTCTGCTTTCTTCGTAATGAGACAGAGGAAGACTACTATTGGGCACTCTCAACCTTTCTCTCACTCATAGAAGTACTACATCCACGCGTATTTATAAGCGACCAAGAACAAGCAATAAAGCAGGCAGCTCGTAGATTGCTTCCAAATATTCCACAGCTTCTTTGTGTATGGCATATCAACAAGAATGTCCAGATAAAGGCTCAACTTATATGGAGAGACGCCGATGGTACAACACTAGAAGAAAAGAAGGCAATTGCTGAAGAACGTCAGAATTTTCTGAAGCACTGGAACCAGGTATGTCACACCTAAACAATATTATTAATAATCTAACAAACTAGGTCGTCTTCACACCTAAGCGTCCTGACTTTCAAATAAAGTGGGATAAGCTTCTTAATGATTATCAGCATCAGGAAGAACTATGCAGGTATCTAAAGGAGAATCAATATGAAACACGCGCTTAATAGGCGAAGGCTTAGACATCCTCTCATCGACACTATAATACAATTACAACTTCTCCTATTAAAGGAATGCATAAAGTACTAAAGGATTATTTACTGATTTCTACTGGCGATATACTACGTGTTATTCAGAGAATTGAGCAGTTAATCCATAATCAGTACAATTAATATAAGAAGGAGATCGCCTCATCTATGCATAACATCAAGTTTGAGCATATGCATGAGAAGATGCCGTTCCTGCCATCTAATATTCATACAATAATCACACTGCCTGCAGTTGAACGTATCAGACAACAGGAACTTATACGTCAAAAGGAAGAGAAACAGCCAAGCAGTAAAAAGCCTTGTTCAGGTCTTTTTAAGAGGATAAATGGCCTTCTATGTCGCCATAGACTGCAAATAGCAATAGGTTATGGGCCTTTACCTCTGCGCTATGTATATGACGATCACTAGCGTTATCAGCGTATACATAGACAGTCTATTCAAATACCTTCGCCGAGACCACACCAGTTTATCCTTGAGCCACTTCTAGCTAATACAAGAGGAGCGTAAAAGAAGAGCCAATCA